ACTATCCCTGGTGCCATCCTGAACTGGGGAGAGCTGGGCCAGCTGAGCTCCAGGAAAGCCCAGCCTTGGGCTGCTGGCAGTTAGCAAGGCTGTTATTCCTGGGTGTTCATGTGATGGGGGTGCTGAGGTTATTTGCTTCTTTCTCTTTTATTGATGCAGCCTGGAAACCTGTGTTCATGAGGCGAGTTACTGGGGGATTATGTCATGGACCGTTAGCTGTGCGCTTCTCCCTGAGCAGGGGAACTGACTTTAAGCACCCTCGGCCTGTGTTAGCCAGCAGGAACTCATGTGTGCCCTAGTTGGATTTTTTTTCAGGGAGGGGATAAAAGGACATGCCTAATTCCCTCCCCTCCCCCCCGCCCTCTTGGGGTGGGAGAGGGCTTTTCTGCAACATCACTGGTCACTCTCCAGGTTGAAGCTCCCCGGTTTTGTGGAGGATTTTGCAGTTTAATCCTGACCCCTCCTGTTTACTCCCAGCCTCTTCTCCCTCAGGTGTATGAGGGCTGGCTAGGGGGAAAGCATATCTCAAGGTGGGCTAGGAATGAGTCCCAGTGGCCACATGGCAGGAGCTGGGGCGGCACTGAGTCCTGTTGGTGTAGCTGCTGAATAAAGCCTCTGGGATCCTAAACAAGGCAGAAGATGCAGGCACAATTGCCATTAATTTTGGAGGTACCTCCTAAAAATCCACTCAGGAATGGGTGCGGACCCGACACCCAGCTACTTAGCCAGGCTTGGCCCCTCACGCCAATCCCAGCTCCTGCATCGAGCTATATTCCTGCCATCATCTGCTTGTGTTCTAGACCTTGAGTGACAGACTAGAGACGCCACCTCGTGCTGCTCGTGACCGGAAAGGTGGCTCCACTCACCAGTCCCCAGCAAGCTCTTTGCAGGCCTTTGAGTCCTTCCTCAGTGGGTGACACTGGGAGCCCCAATGCTTTGTGCTCCAGCAGCACCCACTCACCCAGCCACATCACTCCCGCACACCTGTGCAAGCCCAGGCATCAGCACACCAAAGTATTCGCACAACTGTGTTGAGTTGCTGGAACTGGGCATGCATGGTTTCATTTACACAGCAACCTGGGCCCCATAGAACTGCTGATATTAGAGCTGGAAAAGTCCTGTCACTGAAGCCATCTGCTCTGAGCCAAGGCAGGACTGGGCCTAGAGCCTGGGCACCAGGGACTTAGCGAATCTAGTTTGCAGTGACCCAAGCAAGGGGCTTTCCCATTTCCCCAACATCTCCGCAGCCTGGTAGCTCTCATAGGTAGGAAGTTCCCTTGATATTCAGCCTAGCTGTATCATTCTTTGTTCCTCCCAGCTTTGCTCCTCCAAGAATCATTCATCAGGGGTGGCCGGTGGGGGCAGGGGTGTTGCCTCCAGGACATATTCCAGGGTGGTGTCCAGTCTAGGTTTAGGGGTGTTCCAAGCAGTGAAGTGCTCACTCTTCCCTTGGGAGATGAAACCCAGCCTAGAACATAGAATTGGCCATATTGGATCAGAGCAATGGTCCATCTAGCCCAGTATCCTGTCTTCCATGCCAATTGCAGAGGGAGTGAGCAGAACAGGCAATCATCCGAGTGATCCATCCCCTGTCGTCCACTCCCAGCTTCTTGCAAACGGAGGCTAGGGACACTCAGAGCAAAGGGTTGCATTCCTGCCCATCCTGGCTAATAGCCACGGATGGACCTATCCTCCAGGAACTTACCTAATTCTTTTTTGAAGGCTGTTATGGTTTTGACCTTCACCATATCCTCTGGCAACGAGTTCCACAGGTTGACTGTGCATTGTGTGAATAAATGCTTCCTTTTGTTTGTTTTAAACCTGCTGCCTCTTCATTTCATTGGGTGACCCCTAGTTCTTGTGTTATGTGGAGGAGTAAATAACACTTACTGATTCACTGTCTCCACACCAGTCAAGATTTTATAGACCTCCATCGTATCCCCCCTTAGTCGTCTCTTTTCCAAGCTGAAAAGTCCCAGTCTTATTATTCTCTCCTCATATGGCAGCCGTTCCATACCCCTCATCATGTTTGTTGCCCTTCTCTGAACCTTTTCCAACTCCAATACATCTTTTTTGAGATGGGACAACGAGATCTGCACGCAGTATTCAAGATGTGGGTGTACTATGGTTTATAGAGAGGCACTAGGATATTTTCTGTCCTATTGTCTATCCCTTTCTTAATGGTTCCCAACATTCTTTTCGCTTTTTTGATGGCCGCTGCACATTGAGCGCAGAGAACTCTCTGTTTTCAGAGAACTCTCCACAATGACTCCAAGATCTTTCTTGAGTGGTAACAATTAATTTAGACCCCAACATTGTATATGTATAGTTTAGGATTATGTTTTCCAGTGTGCAATATTTTGCATTTATGAACATTGAACTTCATCTGTCATTTTATTGCCCAGTCAATCAGTTTTGTGAGATCCCTTTGTAACTCTTCAAAGTCAGCTTTGGACTTAACTAGCTTGAGTAATTTTGTATTGTCTGCAAATTTTGCCACTTTTTACCCCTTTTTCCAGATCATTTATTACTATGTTGACTAGGACTGGTCCCAGTACAGACCCCTGGGGGACACCACTATTTATCACTCTCCATTCTGAAAACCAACCATTTATTCCTACACTTTGTTTCCTATCTTTTAACCAGTTACTGATCCATGAGAGGACCTGCCTTCTTATCCCATGACTGCTCACTTTGCTTAAGAGCCTTTGGTTAGCGACCTTGTCAAAGGCTTTCTGAACATCTAAGTACACTATATCCACTGGATGCCCCTTGTGCTCATGTTTGTTGAATTCTAATAGATTGATGAGGGATGATTTTCCTTTACAAAAACCATGTTGACTCTTCCCCAACAAATGGTGTTCATCTGTGTGTCTGGTAATTCTGTTCTTTACTATAGTTTCAACATTCCTGATAGTTTTCCTGATGTTCAGACTACATTTCCCTTCTTTTAGTTTGACGCCATTCCCCCTTGTGCCACTCTCTTCTTCGTTATTGGGTCCCCTTCTACCACGAATCATTCTTTCACTCAACTGAAGGCATTTAGGCTCAGATCCTCCAAGTCTTTAGGCACCTAACTCCCACTGAAATCAGTGTGAATTAGGTGCCTAAATATCTCTGAGGATCTGGGGCTTTATTCTTTCCATTTTCCCTTCTGGCAACCCACCACCACCACCCGCAGAGGCCTCTGCCCAGGGGAGTCAGAGGCATGTTTCTTACTCCTGCTGTCTTGAGGCAGTTAGCAATGCCTGTGTGATTGACTCGGAAGAGAGGGAGTCTGACTGATGGGCTCTTTAATTCTCTGCTGCTCCAGACACAGAGGAAAGCCCTGCTCTTGTTACATAAGGCTCCCTAGTTCATGCAGTAGCTGGGGCACAAGGTTGGGGGTCACAGCGAGGTCAGGTGGCTGACACACACTGTAACAACAAGGTGGTTAAAATTAGCCCACAGAGAGGAAACTGGCAGCATTGTGGAAGTGCAGAAGTTTCCTCTGTGCTGTAGCCTGGTGCCGTGGGGGGGTTCTCTGCGTGCCGCCTGCCAGCCCATTGCTCACTGTTGCCTGCCCGTCATGCTACCTCAGCCCTGCTTCTGTATTTCTGCTCTGCCCGCTGCCTGTGGTTGGTATACACAGTGTATCCCATAGCAACATGGGATCCTGACGGGCGCTGCTGCCCCATCACTTCCCCATGTGTGTTGAGCCTCCCAGTTGATCATCCGATGTGTGGGGTGCCCCCCATTCTTCCTGATATCTGAGCCTTGTGCCCTCCCGATGGGTGCTGGGCACTCAGGTTCACTGTGGTTGCACTGGAGTGAAATCAGCTAGACCCCATAAATGAACTACCTGGTTCTGGGGTCCACGAGTGGGAGCAAGCTGGGTCCTTCTGACTTGGGGAGCAGAATCTGGGCACTGCTTCCAGTGTAAACAGAGTAAAGTGGAGCCAGAACCATGGTGCGAAGTCCATGTGAGCAAGGTACAAAGAGAAGAACAGGGCAGGGTTAACTCGTTGCTGTGAGCTTGACCATCATAGGTTTGCAGTGGACAGGACAAACCATCGCCAAGGGTTCGGCTCTCCCAGCTGGTGTTCGAAAGGGAAAGCGGCAGGCAGGCAGAGTACAGGCGAGTGCTCTGCTATAGCAGGGGAAGGGATTCTGATCTGCCCAAGGGCTGGGGCTTGGGGCCCAGGCAGAGGGTCTGGTGCAGGGCTGGGGGCTGTGTGGCACCAGAGGGGAGCGTTCCAGGCTCCAGTGCTCTGGAAACTCCATCTGAGAGTCTCATACATTTGATAATTACCCAAGCTATTGAATTGCATCCTGGATAGTTCAGCCCTGACAGGCTCCCTGGTTATTTAGTGAGATGAGCTCATGGGCTGAGGCAGCAGCCGAGTCCAAGAGGTGCGTGGCTTTTGTAAAATGCCCCCACCTGCTGGCTCTCAGCACCTGTATCGTTCCCCTGACAGCTGTCCGCTTGAGCCCTCCTGTTTCCATTGTGGGGGCTGTCAGGGGTTCCTGTTCTAGCTGAAATGAAACAGCCAGGAGAGTCCTCCTCATCCATCTCCCACTTGAGCAGGTTTCCAGCTCTTGGATGGGAATTCTGCCTGGGGGTGGGGGGCCTTTCCTTCAGCTCCGAACCAGGAGCGGGCTCCAGGGGAGAGGCTGGAGAGGTGAAGCCTGTCTGCAGTGCACAAGCCATTCTGTGAGAGATGTCGGTGCCTGTGCTTGCATTAGCCTGCCCCTGTTCTCCTGTCCCTTGGCCACAAGCTCAAGGGCCAGACACTGGAGCTGGGCATCGGCCATTTCCTGAGCCAAAGGGGGATGAGTAACCGTCCTCTCCCAGGTGCTCGCTGGGCCCTGCTGTATGCATCAGCACCGCTCGCAGCAGCTGGGCCCCAGGCTCTGAGGTTTCCCTTTGGTCAGTGGCTGACTGCCACTGCTCTCTGCCTTCCCTGGGCACTGACTCTGTTTTTCTTTCTCTCCCCGACCCCCTGATCCTTACCCCGTAGGTTATTGCAGCTGACTGCAAGAGGGTCACAGTTCTGAAGTATTTCCTGGAAGCCCTTTGTGGACAAGAAGAGCCTTTGCTGGCATTCAAGGGTGGAAAATATGTGTCAGTGGCACCCGTCCCAGACGCCATGGGAAAGGAAATGGGAAGCCAAGAGGGAAAACAACTGGAAGATCAGGTACCGTGCGGGAAGAGCGCGCCTCAGCAAAGGAAGGGTCACCGCTGTGGGGCCCAGCCCCTGCCGGCCCTGCAGCTCCCACTATTTATAGCCAGGGTAGCTGTGTGTGCATTCTGCACTGTGGCGGGGGGAGCGGAATGGTGAGCAGTCCTGGTCTCTCGAGTCTACTTTGCTTGTGCCCCTTCCTGCCAGTCCCACCCATGTGCCTCTGTCTTGCTCACTGCTATGAGTTCCAGATGCTGCTGTTTAATACTTAAAGGGGGAAGAGTTCTAATAACGTGCAGCGCGGGAGCCCGGCGAGGGGGATGTCAGGGTTCAGGCTCAGGATCAAGTTTACAGCCGTGGAGCTCAATGCGGCAGAGGCCTGAACTCCAGCCTCCAGCACACACACAGGAAGAGCTGACATTGGCGCCCCCTCCCTCCCCTGCCTCTCACATCCTGATGTGATTAAGGAATTCTCCTCTTGTTTTTCTGCCCTTGCTTGTTCCTGTAGCCCTTGCTTCACTCCAGGCTCAGTGTGTGTGTTCAACGGCCCTGCCAGCCACGCTGCAGGTTGACACTTTCCTTGTGTTTAATCTTGCAGTTTGAAATGCCAGGGAACAGTGGAGAAAGGGAAAGGCATTTGGAGCTGTGGGCTGGGTGGCCCTGGCTCTGCCCATCCTCCTCCATCGGGGGCTAGAAAGACACAGAGCAGGTTAGAGTAGGGAAAATCCATCGCTGTGGGTGGCCTGCATTCGAAGAGTCCACTTAGCCAGTTCAGTTGTCCCCAGAGGAGGGCTGGGTGGAGCTCATGCACCCAACAAGAGAGTGCCCTAGCTCCCTTCAGCCCCCCTGCGATCTCAGCATGGCAGCACTGGATGTGTGTGGGAGCTGAGACCCTGACCTGCAGGGACACCGACCAGGCTGTTGGGAAGGACAGGCAGAGATCCCAGTAACAGTGGTCATAAGCCACTGTGATACACAGAGACTTGAATACTTCTGCTCTGAGATAGAGACAGACCAGAGAGAGAAAATGACCCATCTGGAGTTTTGTGGCACAGTTCAGTGTCTGCCACTCGGGCACCCTCACTGCTCTCAGCAGGGATTTCCTAGCAGCAGCTCTAACCTTCTTCCATAACTGGGCTAAGAGGCAGAGAATGGCACCCCTCTGGGCTAACCAGGGAGGCCTCTAGGCTGTCATTCCCTGCCCCTCTGGGCTAACCAGGGAGGCCCCTAGCTTAGCTGTGGGAACCTTTCTGTGAACTCCTTACGTAACCCATGAGCTTCTGCATTTGGGTCTGAGCTGAGCCTCCAGCAGGCCAACGTGACCATCCCCTGACCCTGGGCGAGCTTACTCCAAACCTGGAAACAACACTGCAGGCTGCACATCTGAACTATGCCCCTCACTGGGGCCACCATCTCTCTACCTCTCGCTGTGGTCTGTGCTCTCCTGAGAGGGAAGTGAGTCTGAGGGCGCCGTCTTCCTCCTTCCCATGGCTACAGGGTCACTCGGAGGGAAGAGCTGCTGAATGTGTGGCCCAGCCTGGTCTCAGTAAAATTACTGAGTGTGAAACCAGGAAGCATGAGGTGCCCAGTGCATATGTGAGCAGCCCCTGTGCTCCCTGAAAGCCGCTCCGAGCTGCGCTGAGGCTGGGGGTGCCCAGAGATTTAGTACACTCTGTCCCAGGCTGTCAGCCTTCGCCTCTCTTGCCAGATCCAGGGGTTTGTTGAGACTTGAAAGCCTCATCCCCTGGCCTGGCAGTTGGTGCTCTGTGTGTGGCTGAGGCTTGTCCTGATCAATGGGAAAGTCTGAGGAGGCCCAGGACCCAAAGGGCATAGTCCCATGAAGACCATCTGAGCAAACCAAACTGACCTCCAAACACATGCCATATGGCATAAAGAGCAGGGGCTAACTTCCAGCACAGGGGCTTCCACAGGAACTGGAACCCAAAAACTCATAGACTTTAAGGCCAGACAGGACCATCATGATCATCGTGTCTGACCTCCTGTACATCACAGCAGTGCCTCATCCACCCTCTCTTGCAACAGACCCCTTGTCACGGAGTCGCTGGGCGATGCTCTGGAACTGCTCCCCATGAAGCCAGTCAGGACTCTGGGGCAGTCGCCTTTCTGTGAGCAGCCTGTCTTCAGGACACACAGCTCACACCGCTTCCACCTTCCTGGGTCTGACCTCGGAGCATTCAGCATCCTCTGCCCCTCCGTGCGCATCCCCCCAGCGAGTCCACTCAGGCGGGGCTCCTGGGGAAGCCAGAGGGTCCTGCACCCCAACTTCGCAGTCAGACGTGACTCTCAGCCAGCCAGTAAAACAGAAGGTTTATTAGACGACAGGAACATGGTCTAAAACAGAGCTTGCAGGTGCAGAGAACGGGACCCCTCAGCTGGGTCCATTTTGGGGGGCAGTGAGCCAGACAACCACGTCTGCACTTCACTCCATGTCCCCAGCCAGCCCCAAACTGAAACTCCCTCCAGCCCCTCCTCCTCTGGGCTTTGTTCTTTTCCCGGGCCAGGTGGTCACCTGATTTCTTTGTTCTCCAACCCTTCAGCTCTCACCTTGCAGGGGGGGAAGGGCCCAGGCCATCAGTTGCCAGGAAACAGGGTGTTGGCCATTCTCTGTGTCCAGACTCCTGCACACACATGCCCTCTAGGGCTCTGCAATGATCATACACCCTTACTCCACCCCCTAGATACTTAAGAACTGCCTAGGGGAAACTGAGGCACCCCCACACTATTCAGAGGAAACATTAAGAACAGTCCCACTTCGTCACACCCCTGACCTCTGGCTGAGTTATTGATGTCCTCCCATCACTGTTTGAAGACTTCAAGTTACAAAGAATCCACCATTTACTCTAGTTTAAACCTTCAAGTGCCCTGTGTAGCAGGGGAAGGTGAGGGGAGTGTCAGGGTTCAGGCTCAGGATCGAGTTTATAGCCATGCAGCTCAGTGTGGCAGAGGAACTGCCATTTCCTCCTCAGCTCCAACACACTGACTAGTCCTGAGGCCCTTCCAAGGGAATTTCTTGAAACAGGACAAGAAGCCCCCAATATGAGCCCTTCCCACTCAATTCCCTCAGGCAACTTCACATCCTTACTGGCCCGGACCAGCACACATGAACAGCCTGCTGCAGTCACCCAGGGTATCAACCACCATACAGGAGCTAGTCAGAAATTTAAATGAGTCAGCTTGTTAACTAGGAATGTGCTCGTGCAAAACCCAGAGGATGCTGTACGCCTTGCCTTGGAACCACGATGAGGCCAGAGGCCAAGTCCAATACAGAGCGTTTCTAGAAGGGTCCCACGGGGATCCATTCTCGACCCAACACTATTCAGTCTCTTGTCAGTGGTGTGGAAGAAAATATTAAATCCCTGGGGGTAAAGTTTGGAGCTGAGGCCCAGACTGGTGCAGTGGTGGATAATGGTGGGATAGGGCAGTTCTTGAGAGCAATGTGGATCACCGGGGAAGCTGGGCGCCTTTGGCCAACCTGCATTTTAATGCAGACAAAGGCTGGGTCCTCCAGCTAGGAGACAGGAATGCAGCTCTCACTTACGGGGGGGCTGTGTTCTGGAAAGTGGGGACTCTGATAGGGACATGGGGTCATAGTGGAAACCAGCTGAAGCGATGGGCTGACTAAGAGGGCAAATGCAATCCTTGGCTGGATCCGCCCAGGAATATGGAGCAGGCGTAGGGAGGTGATCCCACTGCATACGGCCCATGGGAGACCATTACGGGGGTAGTGCTGGGGTCCACACTTCAGAAAGGACATGGGCCAGCTGGAAGGGCTCAGAAAGGAGCTGCAACGATTCGAGGTCTGGAAAACGTGCCTTACGGTGATGGGAGAGAAGCTTAGCCAGTGCTAGCCAAGAGAAGAGGAAGAGTGACTTGATCGCGGTCTGTAAATACCTACCTGGAGGAAGGTCTGTGAGCGGAGAGGGCTCCTCAGTCTAGCAGACAAAGGCTGAACAAGACCCAACTGCTGGGAGCTGAAGCCAGACAAATTCAGACTGGAAATGAGGTGCCAGTGTTTCAGAGTGAGGGTAACAGCTCACCAAGGGATGGGTGGATTCTCTGCACTTGGAGTGTTTAAATCCAGATTGGACTTCCCTTTTGTAAAGATCTGCTGTAGTGCAGGCAGAAAGAACAGGCTTGATGCATGGAGCACTGGGGGAAGTTCACTGGCATGAGTTACACAGGAGAGCAGACCAGACAATCTAATGGTCCCTCTGGTCTTGGAATCCAGGAATTTAAGTTTCCTTTTCGAGTGGCAGAAGGCTCAGTTTGTGTTTCCAGCCTTTATTACAAGTTTTTACTTGTGTTACGGTAGCATCTAGAGATCTCAGCTGCAGTTGGGGCCCATTGGTACAGACATATGATAGGAAGCAGTCTCTGCCCCAGAGAGATTACAGTCTAAATAGACAAGGGAGAGGAAGGGTGGGCGAAAGGCAGCTGCATTCTCCCCATTCACAGAGGTTAAATAACTTGTCCAGGGTCACACCAGGAGTCTGGCAGAGCCTGGAACTGAAAGCAGACCAGCGCTTTAACCACCACACCCTCCTTACTCTAAGCCTCAGCTCTGGATTTCCTGGCCTTTCTGGTGTTACTCAGCCCTGTTGTGTTAACTGACGGTAGATGGGGAGGAGGGTCATTTCCCTTGGTTTTTTGTTTAATATTTCCAGAAATAGACTGAAACCTCCGCAAGGAGTGTCAGAGAGCGGCGGGGGGCTGTGTGTGCTGGGGAGGGGCCTTCAGTGTCACTGACTCTCACCTATAATGAATTCTCTTCTTCTGGTTTGTCTGGGTTTCCTGTAAGAAGGAGGATGACTTGAGGATTGAGGCATTTGAAGATGATTCTGAGGCTGAAGTCAGTGGAGAAGAGTTTGACATCAGGGAACTCAGAGCCAGGAAGCAAGCACTGGCCAGGAAAGTAGCTGAGCAGCAGCGTCGTCAGGACAAGATTCAGGTAGGGCACTTGGATCCCCGCTGGGAGGGTAGGATTCAGCTGTTCTCCCTGTTGTGTCCAGGGGCAGGGAGCTACTGGGGAGTCTCACAGAAGCCTGAGCTTTCCTTCCAGGTCACATGGGGCCCAATCCTGCTCCAGTGGGAGTGAGTGGAAAAGCCTCCGTTGGCTTCAGAAGAAAGGGGCCAGGCCAAGGTGAATGCAAACCTGTCAGAAACCCAGGGACAAGCTAGGCCAGGCTGTCACTGTGCTGCCCCCCCGTGCGAGGTCATCCTCCGGTCAGGGATCTGCACAGCCAGGCCTCACGATGTGCGTGTCAGGGGTCCAGAGCTGGGCTCTGCATTTCCGCCTTGTGGGGGATCTCCGCAATCAATTAAAGAGCCCCCTCAGGGAGATGCTGCTGCCCATGGCTGTAACCAAAGCATCACTATGGCAACACAGGCAGACAGATAGAGATTCTTTTACTCTAGCCCTATTGAGTTCCTAGAGCTTTCCCCAGTGGTATCTTGTGAACTAAACTGGTTGGAGTTGGAGCTGGGCCCTGGTTGTGAGCACACTGGCCCTTTAAGAGCAACCCCACATGCATGGCTATTGGCCACTTTGCTTTCTCCGGCCCTCTTCCTCCTCCACACTCGCAGCCCAGATGAGGATTTCTCAGCAGAGGAAAATTCTCCCTGGTTCCCCCTCCCCCTCACCTCCGCACTCTCTAATGCCCAGGGCCCTTCACTTCCATAATTCTTCATTTTCCAGCCTTGAACGTAAGCCAGATACATCTGTCTGGCCAGATGCGTGAACTCTGCAGTCTGTGCCGAGGTGGTTGTAAAACAGGGCCGCTGAAGGCCCTACTGGGAGAGCGCACACATGTGTACCCTCCAGCTATTGGCTGGGGGCCCAGAACCACGGCACTGCACTTCCAAACCCACCCCAACCTTTCTGGATGTTTCCCCTTTTTTACAAATCCCTCTTGAGGGGCAGGTCGGAATTGTGCGGGGAGGGAGGGGCTGCCCTGCATTAACCATCCCACTGCTGCTGCAGGGATCTGGGTCACATTAATGCTACAAGGAAAGCAGCAAGTGAGACGGAGATTGGAGAGAGGGGCTGTAAATTACAGCGGCCTGAAGCCTTCCAGCCTCCCAGGGTTGTTAAGTGGGAGGTGTCAGTAAATTCCCCACTTCCCAGCTCCGTGTTCAGACACAGCAAACAGGAACTGCACGTGTTCAGGGATGGCAGTGCTTGCAGAGCCCGACCGGGCCGCTAGCCCGGGACAGCAGAGCCGTTCTCTGCCTCTGTGTACATCTCCACGCCCCATTGCACAGGGAGAGCTGGGGGCTGCCGGAGGGTGTCATGGGGTTTCTTTCCAGTGCACTCCGCCCTTCTTCCAGAGCTGCACTGGGCCGGGGCTTGGAGCCGGATGGAGGTCAGCACGAGGGCGTGGGCAGTGTCGGGGGCTGTGCAGCTGGGAGCTTAGGTGCACTTGGAGCCTGATTTTAAGGAGTGGAGGAGAGCTCGTTGGGGCTTGAGTAAAGTAATTCAGCCCAGCGTTGGCCGGGAAGAGAATGGAGCAGGACACGGGCAGGGCCCCAGCCTTCATGCTGCAGTGGGTGCTGACCGACAGCCTGAGGCAGGGACTTGGAGGAGCTAGGGAGCAGGACGGGAGTGAGCTCACCAGCATTTCATCCTACCTAGTGTTCACTGCCTGGAGCAGTGGGGATTCTGAGCCTTCTCTTGGGAGAGACTCCACAGCCAGGCGCGGCTTTCTCCTGAGACTCAGCTGACACTCTCCTTGATTTTATCCCACTTCCCCTAGTTCTGTCTCCAGGCTGTTCTAAAGTTGGCCTCCCCTCTGTGCGGTGGGTGGAGCTGTCTCCCAACCTGCCCCCTTCTTCCCCACTGGGCCAGCAGCTTTCAGTCTGCCTCGCTGCAGTCGATGTGGCCCCCTTCACTGAAGTAGCATCTGAGCACCTCACAGGCTTTAATGTGTGTGTCCTCCCAGAGGCGGGGCAGGCATGGTCATTATCCCCACGCTACAGATGGGGAACTGAGGCCCAGAGGGACTTAGGGAATGTCTACACTGCAGTAAAAGGCCAGCAGCATGGCCACAGCTGGCCCAGGTCAGCTGACTCGGGCTGCAGGGCTCTACCATTGCAGTGGTATAGACATTTCAGCGGAGTCTCAGAGCCCAGGTTCCAGCCCAAGCCCAAACACGTACACTGCAATTTGTAGCCCTGCAAGGCGCAGTTAACTGACCTGGCTCTGAGACTCGGGACTACGGAGGGGTTATTGCAGTGTAGAAGTATCCTGAGAGACTTGCCCAGGGTCACAGAGAATCTGTGGCAGGGCAGGGAGTTGAGCCCACCATGCAGGGTAGTGCCCTGGCCACTGAGCTATCCTCTTTCTCTCCCTTTCCGCATCTCTCAATCCCTCCTGTCCTCTGGTTGGTTTTGGTGCTCTTCACTGAGCCCCCTGCAGCTTGTCAGGCTCTGTGGTGCCCAGAAGGGAGTGCAGCAGCCCTGTGGAGAGGGATTCTCCCCTCCCTGCTCTGTGCATGCGGCCCCAAATCCCACCCGTCTCCTTTGCCCTTGCTCTTTTAAGTCCTTCTCTAATGTTCTGTCCACCCTTGCCTCTCAGGCTGGGTCTGCCATTCCTGCCCCAGGTTCCGTCCTCCCCAGAGGGACTGACTGACAGGTCAGATTAGCTCTCCCCACCCAGCTGGATTAGCTGCATTCTTCCCAGCTGAATCTTCTGGCACTTCCTGCCCATGTCTGCTCTCCGTGTTCTTTCTGCCGTGCTCCCCATCTCCCATCATGGCTGCTGGCAGGTTGCATGACTCCCCACCCTAGGTCACTAGTGAAGGCCAGCCCCAAGCCTTGTAGGACCCTTAGGCATGTGCGCCAAGTTGCATACTGGCCATTTGCCACTGCTTCAGATCCTTCAGTCAGCTTTGTCTCACACAAAAGGGCTGGTATCTGAGCCCACCGAATGCAGTGGAGTGCAGTAGTTTGTGAAACACCTAATGGGGGCTGCGGCCAGCACGTCCCTTGGCCCACGCTGCTTCCCGCAGCCCCCATTGGCCTGGAGCAGTGAACTGCAGCCAGTGGGAGCTGCGATCGGCGGAACCTGCGGATGCGGCAGGTAAACAAACCAGTCCGGCCCACCAAGGTCTTTCCCTGATCAAGCAGCGGACTGGCTTTGAGAACCAGTGCTCTAAGGGACTGGCTCCTGTTCCATTTCCCGGGAGGGAGAGGATCGTGGCCTGAAGCACACTCCTTCCCTTTGAAGGCCTGTGCCCTGATGCAGTAGGGGTTGGAGCAGGAGCCAGAGGGCATAGACTTTCAGCTCTGTCTACCTGTACATTTCATAGCCCTGTTCTCTCTGCCCTGGGCTGGCGTCCCCTTGGCCCGCCTTCCCTGCAGGGGCAGAGTCCTGGGCTAGTGCTCCCTTCACCCATCTCCTGGCATTCATCCCAGCTGGCATGTCTGCCCACTCCTCTGCTTTGTTCCCAGCCAGCATAAGTGCTGCTGTGTTTAAACTTAGAGCCACACGGCTGAGTTCAGCTTTTTGAGCTCTTATATTCTTCTCACACGCTGGCATAGATGCACCAAAGGTCCTTTGCACCCCTCTTACCTGGGCCCCGCAGTTCTCTTGTTGGGGAAGTGGGACTCCCACAGGGTCAGGGGATGGCAGGAAGTTTATTTCTTGTCACACTCTAACTCCAGCTCTGGGGAAGGTGGAAGCAGCTGGGCCTGGGGCCTAGAAGAGCCTGAGTGGAGCAGTGTCCAGTGCAGGGAGGTGGCTGGTGGGGGGCTAGATCTACCCCTCAGCCCTCTGCCAGGAGCTCCCTTGGGCACCTGTGGTCCTCTCAGACTGATCCCACTGGCCAGAGATTTGCTGCTCCTCTCCCAGTGTGCTGGGACCGGGCATTCCTCTGCACATCCTGGGACCCAGGACAGGCTGTCACGGAGTGTGGGGGAGTCCAGGCCCTGCACCCCTCTTCCTGGGATTCACTGAGACTCTCAGCCAGCCAGTAAAACAGAAGGGCTATTGGACAACAGGAACACAGTCCAAAACAGAGCTTTTGGGTGCACCCAGGACCCCTCAGTCAAGTCCTTCTGGGGGAGCAGGGAGCTTAGACCCCAGCCCTGGGTTCCCTGCGTTCCTCCACCCAGCCCCAAACTGAAACTAAACCCCCCCCAGCAGGTTCCCTGCTGCAGCCTCCGCTGGGTAGAGGTGTTCCCTCCCCCTCCCCCTCCTGGCTCAGGTGACAGGCTCTCAGGTCTCCCATCCCCAGGGCACATTCCCAGGTCAACACTCCCCCCTCCCTGCTGCGTCACATCGTCACACAGGCGTCTCCATTTTCCCTTCCCCGAGTCCCTCAGCAGTAGTTGGGCATGGGGGTGAGCAGTGGGGACACTCCCTCCAGGGAAGAGCCCTGGTGCCCCATCTGGGGTGTGATGGGGTGGGAGAGAAAAGAGCCTGGAGGTAATTCTAACTGTGTATGGCAGCGGGGCCCCTCTGGCAGCCACGTTTTCTCTTCCGAAGCGCTGGCTGCTGCCTGGGTTCCCAGCCTCCCCCGCCCCTTGGCCGAGCCCTTGGTCCAGGCTGTCCTTTGTGCCACTGCTGTGCTCTGGGAGCGGTCAGGTTTCCTGAACCGCCAGAAACATCCCACCTGAACCATAACAGGCTCTTCCTCTGGATGCTGCTATTGTTTTGCTCGACATTACAGAAGCAGCTTAACTGGGCAGCCAATTATGACATGTCTTCCCAAAATAGCCTCACTCCTGTCCCCTCCGAGCACACACAGCGGCCGCCCCCTTAAGATGCAGCCGCTCCTTTGTGGCGGCTGCGTGAGTAACTTTCTAAATATAGCCACATCCCATTCACGCTTTCCATTGAGGAACAATGCGGCCGGTGCACACGCACTGACATGCACCTGCCATGGGGCGGGGGCCTGCTGGCTGCGGAAGGCACGCACCCACCCCCGGCGGCTCCACCACGGCGGCGGCCCCAGCTCACTACCAGGCACGGGGCACGTTTACTCCTGAGGAAGATGCTGCCAACAAACCTTGGAACTAGGAAACCCTGGAGCAGAGACCAGTAACAGGCATTGTTCTCGGACCCTTGGAAAATCCGCCTGTATCCCCACGGAGCAGACAGAGCCCGAGTGGCAGGGGCACCTGGACAAGAGCAGGAATGTCTTGGTGCCCTTGCCGGCGCAGGGGGACTGGTGGAGTGACTGTCGTGCCGCTAATACCCCCCTGGGTAGGGGCTTCTCCTGCAGCTGGCTCACTGCTCATCGCTTCCCGGGGCTCCTCTGCCCAGGCTTGGTGGTCAGTGGCTTGTCCTCACTCCGTGAGCAGTGCGAGCCAGGGGAAGCAGGATCCGTCAGAGCCCCTCAGTCTGCACTGTGATGGGTATTGCCTAGCAGGGAGCCCTCCCAGAGCCTCTGGGCTCCAGCCTGTACCCGTGGCTGGCTCCATTTCCAAACACAAGGCACTGTCAGGACGGCCTCCCCAGGGGGTTCCTGCTGGTGCTGATATGGAGGGAATTTGGGGCTCTAATGTGTTCAGAAGTGCCTGATCTCTGCAGTCACTAGCTGGGGCAGCTGAAAGACACCCCCCCACCAGTCCCCTGCACTCCCTGGGCCCAAGGGCTGAGTGCCATGAGGAGTTGGCTGCAGGCAGGAAGTGCTGCAGACCACCCTAGAGTATCCCATTGGGGCAGAGTGCTGGGCAGAATCCGCGGCTCCAGGCCATGGGCTGGCGGAGGGCGTGGAATGCTGCCTGGTTCTCAGCTACCCTCCTTCCTGACATGTGAGTGAGCCACTGCACCCTCTGCCAGAGCAGCGCAGAGCACTCGCTTCCTCTTGCCCCAGGAGCTCGGGTTGGAGCCAGGCTGGCCTCACCCACTGGCAACCAGAGCCCAAAGTGCGTCTCATCCAGCGCGGCTGTGCTGCTCCGATGCTAACAGTGCTCTGTGGTCCGTCATGGCTTCCTGGGGCTTCACGCACAGCCTGGCCTCCCAGCTCGTGAGGAGGGACCAGTGTCCCCATTCTAGTGATGGGAGGCTGAGGCCCGGAGAGACGAAGTGGTTTCCCAGAGTTACACGTACACAGGACTGGAAGCCCAGGATCCCAACTCCCAGCCCAGTTTCTCTTCCTCTTGGCCATGATCCAGGCTCCCGTGCCCTCAGTGCCAGCTGAAAAGTTAATGTGGCTCCTACCTCTCAGTTCTGCTCACAGGCTCTCTTCCGTCTCTGGCACAAGGCCAGCGAGAGGCTGTATGAATCACAGGCCACTCCCCCCATGTCCCCTTGGCCAGAGGCTTCTGCAGCCTTTTACTCACACAAACAAAAATAAATCTCGCTGCCGGCCTCTGAACTCTGCAAAGGCGAATTTCCCTCTGGCTCCCTGAGCGTCCTGGAGCTGCAAGGGGACTTGGCACACTCCCCACGACCTCGCTCTTTCACTCCCTGCGCATCCTGTGTCCTTCTCTCACCGGGCGGCCCGGAGAGCGGAGTGGGACGTGACGACCAGCACAGGCACTGCTCGCAGCTGCCAGGAGTCTGATGGGTACAGTCTGTGAGAGCTGGGACAGCAAATGCCACATGCAAGGGGGCACGCAGACGGGGTCACCTGCACACTGGGCGTGTACACGGGGTCCTACACAGGGTCTCAGGCCAGGTATCACCCATGTGCATACGCACACAGGGTCTCATATGGGGAGTGAGCTGTTTGTTCAGACAGCCTCTCACAGTAACCCTGAAACCTGCTATCCAGTGGGGCCTGACCTGTCACCTTCACTTAACCCCTCTGCTCCCAAGTGAGGGAGAGTGGGGGCTGCCCTTGCCAAAGGGGGCATGTTCTACACAGCATGCAGAATGGCATGGTGCCAGCCACTGCCTGGGAGCCTCTCTCCCTGCAGTCCCTTGCCACTAGTCTGAATTCTGAATGTGGCTTTCTCACTGCCCTTCTCCCACACCGTCAGCCAGAGGAGCTAGCCTACCCCTAGCACGTCAAAGCCCTCCCTAGGCCCCACGTCCACCTGCGTTCCCTGCAAGAGCCCTGCCCACTGGAGCACCAGCTACATCTTAGTGGGCTCTGAACTAACTGGGAACCACACAACCGCTCTGTGTGGCTGCAGTGTATGGTTTAAAAGTGCTCATACCGGTGGAGCTGTTCCTGTCCAGGAACAGGAATAAACCACACCAGCAGAAGGCACCTTTATACCAGTGTAACTGTGTCCAGACACGGGATTGTCCCAGTGTAACTGCTGGTAAGAAATCTCACCCCTCCCAGGCATAGTTACTATAGCCCAAGTCTGAGTGTCATCAGTAAAACCGCTGCGGAGTGTGCTGCAGCTCAGCCCGATTTACCTTGAGAAGTGCTCTGCACACGGCCCTGTGGAGGTGAGTGCCCCTGTAGTGCATTGCTGAATGCCCAGGGAGGCAAAGGCCTTGAGGTGCTGGGGGGTGGGACACAGCTCCCTGCTGTAAGTCCCATTAGCTCTCTCTGGCCCAGGTGTTTGGAGGCTCTGACCAGGGTGTCCAGAATCGGAGCCTGGGGTATGCGCCAGATCGGGGGCTTGCTGTGGCCAGGCCCCCTGCTCACCTTTTTCTTGGGCTCTTACAGGCTGTGCTGAAGGATCAGAGCCAGATGCGACAGATGGAGCTGGAGATCAGACCTGTCTTCCTAGTACCAGACACCAACGGCTTCATCGACCACCTGAACAGCCTGAAGAGGCTGCTGGAGTGGCGGAAGTTCATCCTGGTGGTGCCCCTGATCGGTGAGTAAGGCCAGAGTGAGGTGCATGTTCCCTTCCCCCCTTGCAGCTGCCTGCAGTGGGTGCTGCCCTTCCAGCTGGGCAGGTCCCAGTCTCCCATGTGGAGCCCTCGGCAGGCTGACCCCCCTCCATCCCGCACGGCCCCTAGTTACTTGTGTGGTCTGTTGCTGTCTGTGCGGTGCCTTGGTTAGTGATGGGCCGCGTAATGGATCACTGTGTTCATGAGCCAGCAGATGACCTCATGTGAGTTCTTGCCATTGGTGCTGGGCAGGCTGGGGTGGGCCAGGGTTCATCTATTGGAGCCATGTGCCTGGGCAGGCGGGCACTCTCCCCACACGTGCCCTTTGGCAGGTCTCTTGCAGACACTCTTCTGGTTGTTCCCTTTCTGCCATGGCTCTGCCCCCAGTCTGCTCCATTGGTTGGATCCCCCTTCCCCAGGGGCCTGTGGGATGCCAGGGCACCAGGTCTGTGGGAGGCGGGAGGGTGTTAAGCGGGATTTCAAGGGAATTTTGAAAGGAACAGGGTGGGGGAATTGTTAAACAATCCAAGCAGACAGCTTAGCCTGGCTGATCTGGGGCTTAGGCAGCCGGAATAAATGGCCAGCCTGTGTCCTAGCGAAGCCCAGCCCTTCTTTTTCTCCTTATAAAGCTTGCAGTAAAACCCAAGCTGGTTCCCGTTATTGGTAAACACTCGCCCTGGCAGATAACGGCTGTGCTGCTGGGTGGTCTCCCAGGGCTGTGGGAAGGTTTGGTTAGCTGCCTTAGCTCTGATTATCCGATCACTCCCTGGGTTCGAGGTATCGTCCTTCTGGCCCGGCTCGCTTTAGGGCTGTGTAACTGGAGCCCGAGCCCCAGTCAGCACTAGTCTGCCGCCCAGAGAATTCCTGGAGGGACGCAGAAGCAGGACCAGAGCTAAGCATCTCCAGGCCCAGTGCCCCAGAGTGCTGCTGTCCCTGCCTCAGTTCCCAACCTTGGAGCCCTGGCTTCTCTTGGCTGGGGTCAGTGGTCGTAGGTCTGTCCCAATCTGAGTGAGCAGGACTACATGTAGCATGTGGGCAGTGGGACAAGCATACCTGTGTGAAACGCTTTGGCATAGTGCACTTGGGAATGGAGGATTGTTGCCACGAGGGCTGGGAGGGGCATTCTTCTCTCTGCGTTGTGTTTGCGGGGCAGGTGTCCCTGCAGGGTTCGGGGCAGTAGTGAGATTCAGGGACTCGTGGGCACCAGAAGGAATTCCATAGCTCGAGCTCTGTCACCTGGAAGATGCTCTACCCTCCTGCCCACTCGGCTCTTCCATGGAGGGCCATGGTCAGCACCAGGCAGCAGAGCGGGAATTCCTGTCCTGGGGGGATTCCTGGTTATGGTAGAGGGGGAGCCATCACCTGGCTGCCCAGCTCAGCATGGGAACCCTAGGGTGCACAGCTGCTCAGCATTCCAGCTCCAGGGCTTTGGAAGCAAAGGGAAGAAAGCTTACAGAGCCCTGGGGGGTTATGCAACCCACGCTAACAGCATCTGAGAATGTTGGCATCCTCCCTTCAGCTCTCGTGTGGTTTGATTGAAGCTGGGTAACCCCAAGCCCCAACCAGAGGGCTAGAAACGTGGTGTCCCCACCCTACAACCACAGCCCAGTCAGTCACTGGGGAGCTAGGACGGTGTGTGTGCTACTTGACTCCAGCTGCCTGCAGCCACGAGAAAACAGCATAGCCTGAGCTTCTGGATTCTAATCCTGGCTCTGACACCACTTTCCCATTTGTGCCTCAGTTTCCCCCATGTTAGTGGGGCTGATGGGGCGTCACCTCACAAGGCTGTCAGATCTCCTTGCTGGCTGTTAGTAAAGCATGCTGAAGCAGCAACGTCTGTGGCTGTGCTGGACATAGGTTGGTTTCTCCCACACACACAAAGCCCTGTGAATTAATTATAAAATCTGTCCCCTGGGGTCAGTGTGAACCCTTGGCTGAGGGAGCTGAGCTGGCCCCCAGGTGCGGGAGCGGGAAGCACAGCATTCCCCTAACAGCAGAGGTGCTCAGCACAGTGTCCTGTTCTCGGATTGCAGGCTGCACAGAACCCTGCGCCCCCGGGATGCAGCAAGGGGTTAAGTGTGCAGCTTTCCATTTGCTTTGTTTCTCTTGCTCTTTAACCTGCTCCTTGCTCCTTGAGCCTGACCTGCCATAGAGAAGACAGGCCTGGTGCAGAAGCACAAACAAGCCTCCCCTTTGAAGCCTGTTTGGTTTGGAAGCAGGAAAGCGGATTTTGGGATGGAATACCAGCTTTTCCTGTTTGATGTTCCGTTTTTGCACCACTTCCCTCGCCCCCACCCCCCTCCGAATCCAGCCGTGCAGTGTGTGGAAATGGCAACAGTGGATCTCTGGAGTCAGGAATGAGTGAGGAGCGAAGCAGTTCTATGGAGCTTTCATCTGAATACCCAGACAATGAGTGCCAGCCTCCCTCTAGAACAGAGGGATCACACAGGCTCCCTGTGCAGTGATTCACAGCACTGGGGAGAGGCCTCAGACCCCGAACGCTCTCCCCAAGCCCCCAAGGAATGCATATTTCCCACTTGATCTCAGGGCTTTGGCTTGGAGCTTGGAAAGAATCTTCAGAAATTAAGCCATGTCTGAAAGCCAGACTGCGCCCGGAGGCTCACTCACTCCCTCCCGTGCACAGGGCCGCTCACACGTGTGCACAGAGAGTGATCACCCACTTGCCCATGCCCACTCTCTCTTACACACGGGCTGTTTCTGCCGGATGGAAGTGCCTCCTGGGGTGTCTCTTATCGGGAGAAGCAGTGGGCCAGGGTCTCCCAGCACTTTCTGTCCGACAGCCCCTGTGGGCATTGCTGCGGTCTCTCGTGCTGGCAAGAGAAGCCCCCGCTCTGCCCTCAGGTGCTAGAGAGGCTGAGGTTTTCCTGTCCCTTGGCACCAGTACAGAAGGCTCTAGGACTTAATCCTCAGCCAGGCAAAATGAACAGCAGGCCTGGGAGTCAGCCTGATCTGGGGTGAGGCTTTGCGTGTCAGGAGGGCCACATGGTGTCTGCCTCCCTGTGTCAGTCACAGGGCAGCAGAGAGGAGCCTCTGTCCCACAGGCTGGGCAGGAGGGGTCTCGCTTCTCCCTACTCCAACCAGCCCTGCAGGGGGTTGGGGATTCCACACCCCACTTGGCACTCTGGGGCTGTGTGCGTCGTCCCGCCTAGGGGACCAGAGCCAATTGGCAATCTCACCTCCCACCCTGAGCCGGAGACAGTGGCTGCCATGGGGCTTGTTGCAGGGGAGACAGCAGGGCCAGGAGTTCTGCAGGCTTCAGTGAAGGCGCTGCAGGATGCGCACTGCCCACATGTGCAGCACTTAGCCAGGTGCATTCCTCAGCACCATCAGTGATTAGCTGCTGTAGCCAGGAGGTGGAGATGGGACTGGATGGCCCAGCATCGTCCTCCAGCCTGCCCTGCCCAGGGTCTGGCCTCCCCACAGACTCTCTCCCCTCCCATCCCTCAGCCGTGGGACAGTTCAGTGAGCTCTGAGTAAAACATCTGGCCCATCGTGAGTGGGTGACAGTAGTGCCTGGAGAAGCCCCAGGGTCCAGCCTCATTGTGCAGGGTGCTGTGCCCCTGCCCTGAAAATCGTATAGTCCAAATAGGCAAGACAGAGCCAGGGGGAGAGAAAAGCAAAAGCATTCTCCCCATTTTACGGGTGGGCAATTGAGGCCCAGGGATTAAGTGACTTTCCCAGGGTCACTTGCAGAGTCTGTGGCAGAGCCAGGAATTGAACCTGCATCTCCTGAGTCTCAGTCCAGTGCCCTATCCATAAGGCCCTTTGGCAGGTCTGTGCCAGGCTTTGGCTGCAGTTCCCAAGAGCATCCTGCTGCATCCTAACCCAGCTTCCTCTTCCCTTTTGTTTCCAAGTGATCAATGAGCTGGATGGCCTGGCCAAGGGCCCAGAGCTGGAGCATCGGGCCGGGAGCCATGCCCGCCTGCTGCAGGAGAAAGCCAGGAGATCCATTGAGTTCCTGGAGGAGCGCTTTGAGAATCGCGACAACTGCATGAGGGCTCTGACTAGCCGAGGCAACGAGCTCGAGTCCATCTCCTTCCGCAGCGAAGACACCACCGGCCAGCAGGTAAAGGGAGGCACGGCCCAAGGAGGACACTGCTCGGAGGAAGCTTGCAGCATGGGCAGTCCTGTGTCTGCAGTGGTGATGGGGTGCTGGAGCTGGGCAGCTCTTCCATGCATGTGGGCAGAGTGCATCCCAGGGCTGGAGGGCAGCTCTCCCTCACCCAGGAGCATAGGGGGAGGAACCCTCTTTTCGCTGGGTCTTCACATCTCCAGCCATGCTGGTGGGAGAGGAAGGCCGCTCCCCACCACAAGCTGGATGTGCTTGGAGCTGCCCAGCAGTGGGGATCATAGTTCAGTAGTTCTCTTTCCTGACATGAGTCATGTCCTTCTTTCCAGGGCAACAACGACGACCTGATTCTGTCCTGCTGTCTCCATTACTGCAATGACAAGGCCAAGGACTTCATGCCCGCCAACAAAGGTGAAAGCACAGGGTCAGGGCCACTCACACGCTGTGCCCAGACAGCTGAGAGAGAGACCTGGGCCCCACATGCCAGGCACGGACTGTGCCGGGCACCCAAGAAGGCAGAGAGTTTATCAGTCCGGTCCTTCTGGCTTCCCCTCCCCTCACATGGTGCTGTGTGCACCCTCTGTACAAAAGTCCAGTGTCCCTTGGCACATGCCCAAACCTGGAGCCTTAATGCCACAGGAGCAGCCTGTCCTCCATCCTCCTGGGAGTAGTATTCTGCTCATTGTTTAGTCTATTGCCAGAGGCCTTGCGCAGGATCAGGGTGCCATGTGCTGGTGCTGATCAAACACGGCCTCTGCTTTGGCCAGCTGACAGTCTAAGGGCTGCTCCACACTACGGTAGGTTGGCTTAACTACATCGCTAAGGGCTGGGGAAAATTTCACTCCCTGTGCAATATAATTAAGCTGACCTAAGCCCCATGTACACAGCACTAGGTTAACAGAAGAATTCTTCTATCAGCCTCGCTACCGCCTATCGGAGAGGTGGAGTGTCTGCAGTGATGGAAGAACCCCTTCCATCTCCGGGGTTAGTGTCTACACACAAGTGCTACCGCCGCATTGCTAGGGTAGCTATTCCCTAGGAAGTGGCACCTGGTGCGTATCCCAGGGCTGTCCCTGCCCTAGTCAGGTGGGGCTCTTCCCTTGGCACAGCAATGCCCTCCCCTCCGTTTGCCCACTTGGCGTCTGGCACCATGTTTTAAAATCAGACAATCCCGGAGCTGCTTGCAGGGGCTGCTGGGATGGGAATTACATCAGCAGCTGCCCAAGAAATCAACGCACATTTGTCAGTGCAAATTCTTAGCAGCTTAACTTGTCAGATTCACAGAGAAACCGTCACCAAATGTTTATGCGTAAGTGATACTGAATTTTAAAATCATGTGGATTATGGTGGATGGGGCCTGACAAGCTGACAGCCTCTGGTTTGTAACAAGGAGCCACGTCACCAGGCTCAGAACAGAGGATGTTTATTGTTACACATTTCTCAGTGTCCGTACAAAACCTCCTGATCCTGCTGCCAACGGATCCCTGGGGCCCTCCCTCCCCCAACGCATCAGGTCCCAGGACACCCTCCTATGAGCCTCTTCCCCCACACCTCCCGAATGCATCAGGTCCCAGGACACCCTCCTATGAGTCTGCCCCCTCACCAACTCATCAGGTCCCAGGAACCCTCCCATGGGCCCACCCCTTACAACACAGCAGGTCCCTAGACACCCTCCCTTGGGCCTGCCCCTCCCAGTGCAGCAGATCCTGGGCCCATGGTGGGCTTCCATGGACTCTTTTTTTTCCCCTCCAAGCCCTGGTTTGGAGGTACTGTGTTTCCAGTGCTCATAGGAGCGGTGCTCTGGTCACAGGATCCAGCTGCTCACATGCACCCTGTTCACTTCCCCTGCTCCACGGTCATGTAAGCAGAGCTCCCACAGCCCCAGTCCAGCATGATGTGTGCAGGGCAGTTCATCTGTCTGGTGGGCGAGACCATTTCAGTTATTTCTCAGGGCTCAGCTCTTTCTGTCTAACCCAGCAAAGCCCTAATGCTTGTGGCTCTTCAAAGGCAAAATGGCTCTCAGAATAAGGTTTGGTTTTAAAGACCTTACAACGACCACCAGCGTCCTGCTGGAACATACATCAAAGGCCGTATTCCTGCCTGCTCTGTGCTTTCTGCTTTACACACAACCCCAGCCTGGGGCAGAGCAGGGCCCTCTCCAGGGTGTGTGTGGGACGGATGTGCATGCTGGGGGGATACATACAGGGGTCAGATCTAATCTGGGATAGGGACCAGCATGCCTTCTGTGCCTTGCCCTAGGGCTGTCTCTGATTGGCTTCAGGGGTCAGTATGCAGAAGTCATGAGGCTCCATCAGAAATGATCTGCTCATGAGCTGGACAGCTGAACCACACCCCACAGGGGTCAGGAAGGGTCATGCCCTGTCCAGGGCACCTGCAAGGCATGGGGACACCTTGCTGTTTGCCTTCAGTACATAATGCTTCATACCCCAGGTAGAATATGCTCCCCAGATACCAAACAGCACCACAGGGACTGTGCCCAGGGCAGAGCATGTGTCTGCAGCTGGCAGGGCTTAAGGAAGCCCTGGGCCAGGCATATGGGCAGCATGAAGGAAGGAACCAAGTTGAGTGGGAGAAGCAGCCCGAGCAGAAAGAAGTAAAGAGCAGGCCAGGGCAGCTGTGGGAGGAGCTGAGGGCAGCATTAGGTGGAGCAGAGCCGGGTGGCTACACGGCCCACATCTGCTGACAACAGAGTTCAGGTGGCTGGCAGGGCCTGGTTATCTCCCCCCTCCGGACAGGAGCTACCCTAAGCACACGTCCTCTCTGCTGATTGTTTCAGATGATCCAATCCGTCTGCTCAGAGAGGTGGTGCTGCTCACAGATGATCGGAACCTGCGTGTCAAGGCACTGACCCGGAACGTGCCCGTGCGAGACATTCCCACCTTCCTGAAGTGGGCCCAGGAGGGCTGAGCAGGTGTGACTGAGGAGGAGATGTCCCCGCGTGAGTGACGCGGCATGTTGCTGGTGGGAGAATGGCTTTTGAGGCAGCCCTGCGCCACCACCACTGCCTCCCGACCCATCAATGAACAATAAACTCCCCATCTTCAAACCCACCCGCGAATGGCCGTGCTGCAAAGGGAAGGTCACTGCTGTGGATGGGTCATGTGGAGGCTAGGACTCTGCGGGTTGCCATGGTCTTTGGGAAGAGTGGGGCGGCAGAGCAGGAGGGCACTGGTCCCTGGGGAAACTTTGGGCTAGCCCCATTGCCAGTCTCAGCCTCTTGCTCGTCAGCGTCCTTGATTGGAGAGAGCTCCCGTTGGAGGTCAGTGTTCTCCTTGGACTTGTGCTCTGAATGGGCCAGAGAGCCTGGGGAATGGGAACCTCCTGTCTGTTAACTGGCTACGGAAAGGGGGAGGGACCTGGCATTGTGGCAATTCCTGCCAGCAGTTTCCAGAGGGGCTTGTGTTCCTGCTGGAGCCCTGGCTGCGCCCCCTGAGACACTGTGAATGTGGAGGTCAGGGTCTGTCCTGCTCTCTCTGGCCATTTCGCTCACACCTTGGCTGCTCCTCTCCGCCTGTCTCAATTCCTTCATCTGTCCACTTCTGTGGCAGCTCATGTTAGTGCCCCTGATTTGACCACTGCTGCAGCTGGGCCAGCACATCAGCCCCGTCACTTCCCAACAGCGGAGCCTGGCTGGATGTAATGTATATTGGCTCCTTTTCCCCTTCTGAAGATGCTCTGGTCCCCTCTCCAGCGGGAGCAGCAGGTTCTGCTCTGAGAACATCACCTCAAGCTTTGGGGTGGCCTATTGCTCAGGTTCCAGCGCTACTTTCACGCGAAGGAAAAGCATTAAATACCCAGGCAGCATTGTTCCATGCTTGCTTCTGTCCCTCTGCCCCATCTACTCCTGAGCCCCCTGCTCTGCCCCACACACCTTCTGCCCCATCTATTCCTGAGCCCCCTGCTCTGCCCCACACACCTTCTGCCCCATATACCTCCTGAGCCCCTTGCTCTGCCCCCTGCCCCACACACCCTCTGCCTCATATACCTCCTGAGCCCCCTGCTCTGCCCCACACACCTTCTGCCCCATATACCTCCTGAGCCCCTTGCTCTGCCCCCTGCCCCACACACCCTCTGCCCCATATACCTCCTGAGCCCCTTGCTCTGCCCCCTGCCCCACACACCCTCTGCCCCATATACCTCCTGAGCCCCTTGCTCTGCCCCCTGCCCCACATACCCTCTGCCCCATATACCTCCTGAGCCCCTTGCTCTGCCCCCTGCCCCACACACCCTCTGCCCCATATACCTCCTGAGCCCCTTGCTCTGCCCCCTGCCCCACATACCCTCTGCCCCATATACCTCCTGAGCCCCTTGCTCTGCCCCCTGCCCCACACACCCTCTGCCTCATATACCTCCTGAGCCCCCTGCTCTGCCCCACACACCTTCTGCCCCATATACCTCCTGAGCCCCTTGCTCTGCCCCCTGCCCCACACACCCTCTGCCCCATATACCTCCTGAGCCCCTTGCTCTGCCTCCTGCCCCACACACCCTCTGCCTCATATACCTCCTGAGCCCCCTGCTCTGCCCCACACACCTTCTACTCCATATACCTCCTGAGCCCCTTGCTCTGCCCCCTGCCCCACATACCCTCTGCCCCATATACCTCCTGAGCCCCTTGCTCTGCCCCCTGCCCCACACACCCTCTGCCTCATATACCTCCTGAGCCCCCTGCTCTGCCCCACACACCTTCTGCCCCATATACCTCCTGAGCCCCCTGCTCTGCCCCACACACCCTCTGCCCCATATACCTCCTGAGCCCCTTGCTCTGCCCCCTGCCCCACACACCCTCTGCCTCATATACCTCCTGAGCCCCCTGCTCTGCTCCCCCATACCAGATACACACCCTTAGATCCTGCCCCACACACTCCCTGCCTCTTGTCATGCTTGTAACCTGCCCTTAAGGCTTTGACATTACAATAAAACTCTCCATTGAGTCACCCTGAGATCACAACAGGCCATGCTTTGGGGTCCTGAGGGAGCTCTCGGATGCTCACTTTCCCAGGGGCTGTCATACGGGGCCAGAGGGACCCAGGAGAAGGTGAATTATTCCTGTGGCCAGAGGGCAGAAGCAGCTGGGCTGGGCAACAGTTAAGACCCTGACACTGAACTGCCAATGGTTGCTGCTTGAGCAGCTTTGCGCGGCCTAATTGCTCCTTCAGCATGGAGGGGAGCCCTTGAGCTGACCCCATTGCCCTGTCATCTGCCTCATTGAGCCTTGTCAGACAGCATCCTCTCCAGAGTGGAAAGGGTCCCACAGTACCTGGCACTGGTGCCGGTTTCTGGTGCTGCTGGGCAAGTGCAGACCAGAGAGGCCCACGCAGCTGTGGCTGAGCTCTGTCTCCTCCATGGAGCCAGCCCTCCTAGTCTGAGACCGAGCCCTAGTGGGGCAGCCCAGGGGGCAGAGGCTGAGGGAGCTGTAGTCACCTCCAAGCTCCCGCAGCTAGGCCAGGTCTCTGCAGAACAGCCTCCGGAGCTCTGTGGCCAGGCAGGTACCCAGCACCTTAAGGAAGGTGCAATGTTGCCCTCTCTAGGGACTTAGCTGTACTCCCAGGCCTTCCCCACACAGGGCCAGCATCTCTGCAGGAGCCCAGGGTGCGAAGGGCCCTGTGGGAGGAGTGGATGGAGGCTGGAGAGGGAGGCAGCAGGACCGAAGCCAGCTGTTGGTTTTTGCCAGTGAGGCTGCTCCTGGCTGCTCAGCCTGAGGGGGAGGGGGACAGTGCTCTCTCAGGCCTCTCTTAGGAGAGAGGGAGGCAGCTGCTTCACTGGCAGACCGGGGGCGGGGGGTGTTCTCTCGCCACCAGCAGCTCATCCACCCCTTCCCCAGGGGCTGCCTCACCTGGGACCTTGGTATGGCACAGAGGTGGGGCTCAGGGCTGAGCCCCCAGCCCTGCTGTGCAGATTACAGATGCTGGGGTAGCCTGAGTCCTGCGTGCTCACCAACCAGTGCTAGCCAGGTGCTTTGCAAAGGGCCTCACAATCTCACTACAGACCCTGACTTCCTGTCACAGCTCTCTCCGCGGGTGGCTAGGTGACGGAAGGAGGCACCTGGGCACCTGGCTGGGTGACGAGCCCGTGGACCGAGGTGGGGCTGCGGAGCAGGTCTGTGGCACGCAGAGCAGTAAGGCCGGTACCGTCCCCGCTTCAGCTGCCGGGGAGGTCTCCAGGCCAGCGCATGGCGCTAAAGGAACTCAAGCTGGAGCCACTGCTGTCTGCTTCTGGACACCCAGCCCAGGACCTTAGGACTCACCGTACCCAGCCAAGGAGCCGCCTGCGGATGCTGCTGGTGTGATCTGTGCAAGGAGCTGGGCGGGCTGGGCTTCGCTCTAAGCGACGTTTGCCCATTTGCTTTTCCCCAAACCGGGCTGTGTTGGAAACGTTTGTTCTGACGACCTGCTGAACTCTGCCATTGAACAGCCCCTGCTGAGCCAGCGTCAGGAGAGAACTGGCCAGCCGACAGCCCGGGAAAGCTTTTCAGTGAAAGGGACAGTCAGCTCCAGCCCGGACACGCCATGCCCACCCCTGCACCCCATTGATGGAAGGACTTGCCCCCATCATCTCCCCTGATCACTGCTGGCACCCACTGCTGCTTCTCAGAGATGTGACCCCGGACTGCAGGAACTGCTCTGGGACATGACTGGGTTGAGTGCTGGCAGCATGATCCACCGTGGGCATGTGAATGAGCAGCCTGATGCAAGGACACGCTAATGACAGTTCGGAGGGAGCTCCTGCTTCCCCCAGGGCTGCTGGCTGCTCCCTCTGGCCGGGTGCTGGCTTTGCTCCATCCCTGCCCTTTGGCTCCCCTGTGACTCTCTTGTCCTTTGCTTCACCTGGTGCCCCACAGGGCCTGGCCAGGCCTCAGGGGTGATGGCCATGAGTTGTGTCGCTTTGTTAAGATGTTTTCTTAATAAGTTTTTCCTACCAAATGCTCCTCTGGGCTGCCTCTGTCTGTTCTGTTCCCAGCGGAGGTGGGAATTGGGACTCATGGGCCTGCAGCCCGAGCTGGGCCCGGCAGCAGCTCCAGCCCCGGGAAAGGCTGCCGAGTTTGGGGGCGGAATGGAACCTGGCCCCCCTTTCCCAACCAGGGCAGAAGGCTCCCTAGAGACCCAGAAGGAGTTTTGCCATTGACTTCAAAGAGGTCAGCAAGGGCCCATGGTGCCCAGCCAGCCTGCCCTCCTGCACAGCCCTGGGCAGAGCATCTGCCCCGGCGCCCTGCGGCCAGTCCAGAATTTCTGCTTGCACCACAGCGGCTCCACAGTGGTGAATTGTCCATTATCCCCCCTCACCCACCTTGTTCTCCCTGCTGGGGGAGTCTGTCAGCCCTCCCAGTACTGGTTTTCCCCAGGGGGGGAGCCTATCATCCACCCCGAGCTGTTCTCCCTGCGGGGGGAGCCTGTCTCCCCCAGACCCAGTGCTGGACTGCAGCAGAAACACCCACCACAGCCCTGGCTTCGCCTCCGAGGGCTGCCCTTTCCAGCAGCACCTCTGCCCCAAGGGACCCTCACTGGTGCCCCAGGATGTGCCTGGAGTCAGGGGGAAAACTGCATTACAGCCTCTCCCCCAACGCCGCACACCTTAAAGAAGCCACTAGCCCCAGAGCTGGGCTTTGGAGCCACATCCCTCATCATCCTCTGCCCTCCCCAAGCTGGGCTAGTACCTGACTGCCCACTCCCATGTCTGACCCTAAGGAGCGGAGTTTGCCAGGGCAGAGGCTGGGCCCATCCAGACCAAAAGAAGGAGCCGGGACCTCAGGTTTAATGTCACTTTATTGCTCATTTGGTTTTGAGTATAGAAAAGGACAGGACAAAATGCCCGTGTACAAATCAGAAGAATATACAAACCGGGAGGGGGCAGGGAGACCTGGATCCACGCACTGGATACGCCCCCTCCCCCTGCGTTTTGGTCGCAGCTTCTGCAGCGTTGTCCCTAATGGCTGCAAGGCTAAGGGCAGCCCGTGTTGGGCTCTGGCCTGGGATTCCTGGCCCTAGCCAAGCCTGTAGTTGCCTGGGAAGCCCGTTTGGTGCCCGGGGAGCCCTTTGGTGCCCAAGTTCCTGTGCAGCTGGAAAGGGGAGGCAGGGTCGGTGCCCTGAGTCACTGCCAGCCAGAGGCCCCTGAGCTGGGGGCACGGACATTTGGCACTGGGAGCATTTGCACCCAAGCCCCCTTGGAGGAGCAGCCGGTCAGGCTAAAGGCACAGTTGGTTGGAGGCCAGGAGCAGTCACCGTGGGGCGGCCCCCTCGGCCTCGTGTGCAAAGGAGAAAAGACAAAGGCAGGGAAAAGAGCTTCACATTATCCTGCAGGCCAGACGGGAGTGGGATGGGACCCGGGGGTGGGATGGGACCCAGGCCTGGGTCACTCACGGCAGGGCTCTCCCCAGCCCCTACGGCTTTGGTGGCTCTGCCTGGACAGAGCAAGGAAGGCCCCAGGCAGGGCTCTGGGCTTGGGAGCACCTGGATCTTGTGCCCCATTAACCCAGGAGTGCGGGGAGGATCTGCCTCCTCAGTGCAGCTGGCCCGGCCCGAGGGTCAAGCTCAGGGTGCTATCATGGGGGACGGGGGGAGGCGCCTGCATGCAGCCCTGCAACACCTGTCTCCATTGGCCAGCAGGGCAGAGACCTAACCGCTCCCCCCACCACCACCCCGTGTCATTGGCCCTTACACTGCCCACCATGGGCTTCAGCATAAAGCTCTCAGCACCACCCTGGCCTGGGCATGGCAGAGCCCTGCTGCCCAGGGGTGCCCAGCAAGGCAGGAGACTGAGCCATTTTGTCTTTGTCACAAGCTCCTGGCCCCGGACTGAGCCTCCAGGGAGCAGAGGAGAGGGGGCCTCCCACCAGAGCTGCTGGGAGATGAGTTGGGTCGTCTTCCCAGGGTCACAGCCCTTTGGTACAAGGAGCACAGTGAGGGGAGAGCAGCCTGGCCCCCTTCCCCACACTGACAGCCTGGCGTCACTCCCCTGCCTGCATGCTCTGGGCACCAGCCCTGGGAGGGGGCAGCTCTCCCCCTGCAGCCTAGTAAGGGAGGAGAGGAGCCCACCCCTGGGAAAGCCCAAGCAGGGTTTTAACAAACTACTCCCATGGCCTCATGCTTCCAGCCCACCTCCTAGCAGAGACCCCCAGAGAAACAGCAGCATTCACACCCCCAGCATCATGGTTCCCACCTGTGATCCCAGAGAGTAGAGACTGGGGGTGGGGGGGGGGGATGCATCCCAGGGGCTCAGTCTATGGACAGCCGGGCCCCAGATCCATGCGCCCGGGGAAGGGGGGGGGGGGGACTCTGGAATCGCCCAGGGCAGGAATTCTCCTCTGAGGCAGCTGGGCCTGGCCAGGGTCAGGCAGGACACTGGGACATCCCTGAGTACAGCGAGGGTGCAGGGACTGGGTCTCCTCCTCCTCCTCCGGTGGTTGCTTTGGTTTCTGCTCAGCTAGTTGGGGCCCAGGAGGGTCTTTGGGAGCCAGGCCCAGCAGCAGGAGCTTTGGGCTAGGAGGGCTCAGAGGTGGGCGGGGGAGATGGGTCATTCTCCCACCCCATCCCCCAGCCAGGCCCCGCTGCAGTCAGAGCTGGGAGAAGAGCTGCCCCAGCCACCAGGGCTCTGCAGCAAGAGGCACATGCCAGGCCCAGGCTCTGGGCAGGGTTTGCGGGGCCAGAGCGTAGAGATGCCTGCGGAGGCCTTGGTAGATCAAACCCTTCGGCTGCTCCCATTCCACCCAGCAGGGATCCAGCCACTGGACAAAGCTGCACTCACGGGCAGCTCCCGCTGAAATGCCACTGCTCCACAAGGAGGGCAGCGCCCAGCTGCTGGGACAAGGCCACTCTGGGTAAGATCCTTTCCTGAACCCCGCCCCCAGACAGGCTCCCTTCCCTGCAGCAGGCACTGACCCTGCCCAGTGGGCCAGCCCTGGATGATTGAGGGGGCCCGTGTGCCTTTGCATCTCGAGCCAGAGTTCGGGCTGGTGAGCAAAGCCGGGGGGTCCCAGCTGAAGGCAGCTGCGGAAGCCGCTGTTCACTGAGGCGCAAAGCGGAGCTGCAGCAAATGTCTGTGTCCCTCACAGAGCCCCTGACTCCTCCGGGCCTGGCCTCACTGGGAAGCTGGGCTCCAAGGGGACCTGAGCAGAGGCACCCTAGGACTGGGGGGCAGGCGCAGGCCAGGAAGATTTATGCAGTGGGCACAGAGCTGGGTTATTGTGCTCGTACTGGGCCCGTCTGCAGCAAGGAGGGTGTGGGGGGGACAGCCATGGCCCCGTCCCAGCGGGGGAAGCGACTGGCTCCTGAGGTAGGAGGCAGGTTCACATTTTCCTTAATGGAAAAGTCCTTGTGCAGGGAGGCACCAGGCGCTGCTGGGCACTTGGTGGCTGTCCAGGTAAGGCAGGGGCACGGTACCGGCTGCGTCGTATCTGGGCACTGCTCCTGGCAGCCCTCCAGGGAGCTGCTACCACAGGACGCAGGAAGGGATGGATGTTGTGGGCCAGTAAGTAGGGTTGATCACTATCCCACCCCATCACCCCACTCTTTGCACCAAGCCATCGCCCAGCTGTAAACACAGCCCCAACCCTGCAGCATGTTCCCCCCAGCGCCACTCGTGGGGGACCCTCTGTGTGAGGCTTTGCCTCCCCCCGCTCTTTGGTGGGTCTGGTCTGTCCCCATTGGATGGGGGCTGGAAGAAGAATTCAGCCACTGCACATTTTCAGGGAAAAGTTCCCACTCCCCAAATGCTACTGAGAGTCCATCTGGGGAGGGGACCACGGGCTCTGGGAGACTCTGTGGCCACATGGCTTCTTTGGCTCTGGCGGCCGTGGGTGCCAGGGATGCTCTGTTAGGTGGGTGAATAGCACTCTATGGTCCGGCCACCTTCGCTGTGCAGGTGTGAGGCCTGGACCCAGCATCTCGGCCGCCTTCTCCTGGCTCAGCCCCAGGTGCTCGGCTGTGAATCGGGCCAGCGGGTACAGGCTCTCCAGGCCCTTGGGGTCGCTGAGGAAGTGCGAGGTGTGCGAGAGCAGCTCCGCCGCCTTCTCCTGCTTGAGGCCCAGCTGGTCGGCCGTGAGCCGTGCCATGGCGAAGACGCTCTCAGGGAAGTCCAGCTTGGACTTGCCGTCGGGCCCGGCCGCGTGCATCTTCATGTGGCTGATGAGGTTGCGCTGCTGGGCGAACTTGCCGCCGCAGACCTGGCACTCGTAGGGCTTCTCGCCCGAGTGGATGCGCATGTGCTCGGTGAGCCGGTACTGCCGGGTGAAGCGCATGCCGCAGGCGTCGCAGGCGAAGGGCTTGAGGCCCAGGTGGCTGCGCATGTGCCGGGTCATGGTGCCGCGCTGCGTGAACTTCTTGCCGCAGATGGTGCAGGGGTAGGGCCGCGTGAGCCAGTGCGTCTTCTCGTGCTGCCGCAGCGTGGCCGGGTCCTTGTAGGCCTTGTCGCAGGAGGAGCAGCGGTAGGGCCGGATGATGTCGCCCAGGCTCTGGCCGCCCTTGTCCAGGAAGGGGCCGGCCTGCTCCGAGGCCGCCTTGTGGTACAGCTCCTCCTCGGTGTGGGCCTCCACGTGGGCGTTGAGCTGCTCCGAGCTGGGGAAGCCCTTGCCGCAGGGGATGCACACGTACAGGTTGTCCCCCAGGCTCTCGGGCTCGTAGGCCAGGTGGTTGCAGTAGGGGCCCAGGGTGCCCCCGGGAGATGGGCCCTCGCTGCTGCCCGTGTCCTCGCTGGTGCTGTTGTCGTTCTCCAGCTCGTTGCTCTCGATGCTGGGGTAGCGGGACTGCAGGGGCGACTCGGCCTTCTCCTCCCGCTCAGGCTCCTTCTCCGCCTCGCACTCCTCCAGGTAGCTGCCCATTCGCTCGTGCTTCATCCAGCGGTACAGGAAGTCGTGGCCCTCGGCCCGGGCAGGGGGCTCGACACAGGGCGGGCTGCCACGGAAGCGCTCTGCGGGGTGGATCACGCCTTCGCCCACCTGGGGGGGGTCTTTGTAGGCGGAGCCGTGGCTGGCCAGCAGAGAAGCGCTGCCCGGCGGGCTGTCGTGCCCGGGGGCCAGCAAGGGCTCCCTGCTGTCCCCGGGGTGGAGTCTGTCTGTGGGCAGCAGCTGGGAGGAAGGGCTGGTGGGGCTCTTTTTGGAGAGGTCCAGGCCGCAGGGCGGAGAGCAGTGCCTCTCGGGTGGGCACAGGCCCGGCTGGTGCAGGGCGGGGCCCTGGGCGGTGGAGGCGTAGAGCTCCCCACACTGGGTGCTGAGTGGGTTGAGGGGCTCGCCAGGCTGCACATCCACAGGCCGGGGGGCACCCGCGTAGCAGGCCTGGATGACAGGGGCGGCCCGCAGCCCCCTGGCCACCTTGCTGTAGGGGCTGTAGCTGCCTCGCAGGTGACAGTACTTGCCAGACCGCTTCAGCTTCTTCTTGCACAGAGCCACCAGGGCCGGCACCTGCAGGTAGCTAGCGGCCGCCAGCACGGCCCCCAGGCCCGGCTCGCCCGGCTCGCACTCGCCCAGCCGGCCGGTGTAGATGAAGTCCAGCACCAGGCGGAAGACGCCCGGGCTCACCATCTCGTGGTCCAGGTTGAGCAGGTTGTCGTGCACCACCAGCGACTTCAGGTAGACGCTGCTGGCCGCCAGGATGTTCTTGTGCGCGCGGAACAGCGCGTTCTGCACCACGATGATCACGTCGCACAGGAAGCCCTTGGCCCGCTGCGTGTTGAGCTGCAGGAGCAGCTGCCTCGAGTGGCTCGGCACCTCCATGGCCTCCAGCGCGGGGCTGCCCCCGCCACCTGCAAGAGACACACGGTGAGGGGCTGGCGGCCGGCCCGGCCCGGCCCGGCCCGGCGCAGCGCAGCCGCGGCCTAATGGAGGCAAAACATCCCCGCCCCGCTGCCCGCTGCGCAAGGGCTGAGGAATGCTGCGGCGGGCGCTGCCGGGGAGGGAGCGGGGCGCCGCCGTCCGACCTGCCGCCCCCTCCCCGGCGCGCAGCGCCCGCTTCGCAGCCCCCCGGGGGAGCCCCGAGCTGGGCAGCGGGGAGCGCGGGCCCCACGCGCCCCGTGCCCCCAGGGCCCAGCGAGGGGCCGGCTCCCAGCGCCAGGCCCCCCGCCGGCCGGCCCCGCCGGCTGCTGCGCTGGGGGGTCTCGGCTTTGGGCTGCGGGCCGGGGCCGTTGCGCGCCCGGAGCTGCGCCACTTCGACGGGGCGAGGGCGCCGCGCCCCCGGCCGCAGCGGGAAGGGGAAGCCCCAGCCCCGGGCTGCTGAGCGGCCCGGGCCCAGCCGCTACCTGGGGAGGAGAGGGCGAGTCCTGCCGGGGAGCCGGGGCTGCGCCGCCTCGTCTGCGCACTGGCTGCTGCGCTGCCTTGTGCCACCCCTTATATCGGGGCTTCTCTGCGCGGCCGGGCGGGGGAGGGGGGAAGCCCCTGCAGGCGCTGGGGGAAGGTGACATCACTCCCGCCGCTGCCAGCGCCGCCTGCGAGCCCCAGCCCCACCTGAGCGGGGGGCGGAGGGGCCAGGCCACCTGCCGCTCCCCGGCCGGGCCCCCTCTGCCCCCTTCCTGCCTTACACGCACCCGCTGACCTGGAGCGGCCCCTTCCCAGCGCCCGCCCGCCCGCAGCCCGGGGGAACACCCGCTCCAGTTCTGACCCCAAACCCGACGAGCGGGGCCCGGCCTCCAGGGCCAGCCCCGTGGGCCAAGGGTGCTGGGGGGGTCAGGAGCCCCTCGCCTTCCTGCCCCGCTTTCTCCCGCCTCCCTGGTGCGCCCCAATTCGAGCCGCCAGCGGCGATTTTGGCACCAGGAGGCCCAAAACCCAGCGAAGGAGCCGGGTCGGGCTTCCCCGAAGCGCCCCAGCTCGGGCTGGCTTGCTGGGGAGAACAGGCGCCCCCAGGGGAGCGAGGCCCCTTTCCCCGGGCCCAGGCCGGGACAGGCCGCGCTGCGCGGGGGGCACTCCGGAGAGCCAGAGGAAGGCGCTGCTGGCCTGGGAGCGGGATGGCCGGGGCCCTACACCCGGGCTGGGCCGGGCCCGGGCCGCAGCGAGCTGGGCCCCGGCTGGCGCAGCTGCTGTGGCGGGGAGAGCGAGGCGGCGGAGCTGTGGGTGCGCCAGGGCCAACTGGACTCGGGCAGTGCGAGCCCGAGGGCGGGGAAGGGCCGGGCTGGAGCCGGGACCCGCCGGGACAGCCAAACTTCGCCATTTTACAGCATCTTTGGGCAGAGGCGCTGGAACAACGTTGAACGGGGCGCTGAGAGCCATTATACCCTGAGCAGGATGGAAACCGCTCCCCCAGCAGCCCTAGTTCCAGCACCTCTGTCTCTGGGGCGGGAGCGGGGCCTGGGGGCGAGGAAAAGGGGCTGGACGAGAGAGACCTGCCTCGGGGCGAGTCCCCGCCCGCAGGGAGCCCCGGCCCGACTCAGCCCCGGCGGGACCCGCACTCTGCCCGCGGGGATCGGTCCCTTCCTGCAGCCCCGCCTGGGGAAGACCCAGCCGAGTTGGAGTCGCCAGCGGGACTCCCGTCCATGGGATTGTCTGGGAGCCGCGAGCACCGAGGGCAGGGCCTGGCGCCCACCTGGGGCGAGGACCCCTGGGAGCCCCTGCCGGCTCTGGGGGCAGAGACACGCAGGGGGCCTAGCGCTGGCTCCCCGGGTCCTGGCCCTCACATCTCCCATCCCGGGATCCGGCTGCGGCCCCTGCAGGGCGCTGGAACAGCGTGTCTAGCGCGGGTGCTGAGAGCCAGGGAACCAAACGCTAACCCTGGGTATGATGGAGCCACTTCAAGCCGTGGGGGTGGGAGCGCCCCCCGCACCGGAGTTCCAGCAGCTCCGGCCGTTCTGCCACCCCCCCTCCAGCAGAGACCGACCCCTTCCTCCTCTGGTCTCTGAGCCTGGCGCCCCGCGAGCGGCCCCGGCCCCAAGGCTGCGCTCGCCCTCCTGCAAAGCGCCCGCTGCCTCCGGCTGCGGCTCAACCCCCCAGGGCGCCGCCTGCCCGGCTTTCTGCGTTCGCGTCCCGGGAGGGACCCAGCCGTGCCCCCGCGCAGCCCCTTCCCCGGTTCTGTGCTGTATTCCAGGATGGCTGGGGGGCGCCCCGGCCAGGTGTGCGGCCGCCCGGCGTCGGGAGCCCGCCCTGCTCCCAGGGGCGCGGGCAGAAGCCCCTGGCACAGGCGCCCTCCCGCCCCGTCCTGTCCCGCCGTACCTGGGGGCTCCGTCGCTTCCGCCAGCCAGCCGAGGTCTCTGCGGACTCTCATATCCCCGCAGCAGCAGCCTCAGCCCCTGGGTCCCCGCCGTGCGCTCCCCGCCGCCAGCCGGCGCCTCCGGCCCATGCCAGCTCTACGGACTCTGCTGCCAAGGCGCTGCCTCCCTCGGCGGTCGCTGCGCCCTGCGTGCCAGGCCCGGCGGCCGCTCCGGGGCGCAGCATGTGCCGCCGGCGCACGGCTCGGCGCAAAGGTAAAGCCCGGGCTGCGAACTCCCCCTGACCCCGGCCTGAACTCCGCTCCGCGCCAGCGCCTGTTAAAGGGACAGCAGCTGACTGCCTCCTCCCCTCGGCTCCCCGGGCGGGGCCGGGCCGGGCCGGGCGAGCGGGCCCCGGCAGCAGGGGGAGGAGCGGGGCCCTGGACGGCTCCCCACGGAGCTGGCCCGGGGACCCCTGCCTGCGGCGGGAAGGAAAAGCCCCGCTTGTCTCCGGGACCGGCCTGCCCGGATCCGGCTTCCTACGCGTCTGCCCGGCGCGGGGAATTTAACCGCTTCGTCCGCCGGCGGGTGGGGGTGGCCCCGGGGCGCTGGGCTGGGAGGGGCCCGTTGGGAAGGTGAAAGTATCAGCTCCGGGTCCGCGCACGGCTCCCCGGCGGCCCCTTCCCCTCCAGCTCCGACTGCCGCAGAGGGAGAGCGCGCCAGCGAGCCCTGGAGCCCGGACGCCTGGGTGAGTCTATCGGGGCCGGGAGCGGCGGGTTCCCCCTGATTTCCTGCTGCCGCCGCGGGGCACTTCCAGCTGCGGAGAAACTCTGCGCTACCCCCCAGGGGATGGGCCGGAAGGGCGCGGGGGAGCGAGTCCCGCGGGGGGGCGGGGTCGGCTGCTCTCCCGGCTTAGCAGCCCCAGCCCAGCCCAGCCCAGCCGACGGGGTCCCGCACCAGCACCTGCCTTGGGCTCATCTCTTAGCCCAGGTGTAGCGGTTCCCCGCCGGGCGCTCGCTCTTCTCGGCGGGGGCCTGCTCCTGCTGCCATCTGGCGTCCCTCGCCCCGCTCCCCTGCAGCGTCCGCGCTGCCAGGCGGCCTCCCCGCGCAGGTGCGCGCCCCTGGCCCCGGGGGAAGGTGAGAGCGGGAGGACAGCACAGGTGGGCTCCGCAGGGGCCGGCAGCTCCCAGCCCGGACCGGGGGGTGGCGGGGGCGGCTCCCCCTCTGGGGCGAGGAAGTTCTGTGGTTCGCGGGGTGCAGGAGGCTCTCGGCTGGCGAGCTGTGGGGCGGGTCTGGCGGGGCCCGGGTGCTCCTGCAGCGCGAACGGAGCCTGGGGCGCGGAATGAATCCGAGCCGGGAGCAGAGCTCTGGCTCAGGCGGGGCAGGGCAGGGACCCTGCGGGCGGGACGAGGGAAGCTGGGGCCCTCGGGGACGGGGAAGGCCGCTGGTGTAGGGCTGGACACTGACAGCCAGACCCTCTGCGCGGAGCTGCTGCCGCGGGTCTGGAGCCCTCGCGAAGAGCCCGGCCCAGGCGCTGCCGGCTCCGCGTGAGCAGGACGAGCGAGAAAAGCCGGCGGGAGCCCCGGAACTGTCCCGCTCAGCCTTCAGCCCTTGTGCTCGGCGGCTCCAGGCTGGTGGGGCCTCATCTCCGAGCCTGGGCAAGGGAAGCCCCCGGCGTGGGCAGCAGGAGCGCCCGACGGGCGGACGGGGCGCGCCTGGCACAAGCTGGGCTCCCCGGGGCCCGCCTGCAGCCTTCCCTGGCACTTGTTACTCGTGCGGACACTTCCCCCCGGCCCCGGCACAGCGGAGCTGGCCGGGGATTTCACAGCAGCCCAGGCGCGGGGCGCATCGGGCACTGGTTAGTGTGTTACGGCGGGGGGGGGGGGAGTATTGAAAATGAAAGTTGTTGTTTTTTGGGGGGTTACCACGTGACTTACATTGGCCAATCGATCTTGAAATGCGACACCCAAATACGGCAAATGAAGGAAGGAAAAGCATCCCCAGTGCTGGGACCAAGCACAGGAAAGGCGGGCAAAGACCGCGCGGGCCGGGGTTTGGCTCTGCGGGAAAATCCCCAGTCCAGGTTCCCCCAACCCAGCTCCCCTGAACCTCGTGATCCAGCTGCCGCTGATCCAGCTGCCCCCTGTCCAGCTCCCCCCAGTCCCCTGGATTCTGCTCCGCAGAGGACCTTGTTTGTTTGTTTGTTTCTTAATGTCTTTGTCTCGATGGAAAATCTTTCCCTTGGGAAAATGTTCCCACCTCTGGCGGGGCCCGCTGGATCCGCGTCCCGCTGCGAGTCCCCGGCAGACTGTCAGAAGGGACGGGGTCAGCTGCAAGGGGACAGATGCAGAAGTTCTCGGTGCAGACCTAGGCTGGCAGGGAGCAAGCCCCAGGGGCCCGTCCTGCGCCCCCTCTGGCCCCATGTACAGGCACCAGGGTCAGGAGTGGGACTCAGACTCCTGTGTCCCACATGGCAGTGACCTGGCGGGGGACCACACACGGCAGGGATAGCGATAGTAACCATGCCAACGCCGGGTTTCCCCCAGGCTGGCGGGTGGCCCCCAGCTGTGACCAGCTCAGCGGGTGATGGCCTGCAGCGCACACTGCACTGTGGGTAACAATGACTGCATGGCCTCAGACACTCCTCCCCCCTCCCCCTCAGGTACCGTGGGGCAACCGCCCAGACTTTCCCAGCATGCACCCGCAGGTCCAGCTGGGTGGGCTGGTCGGTGTGACACACTATGTGGCTGACACATCACCCTGTTGTGAAATAAACAAGCTGCAGCAGTCCAGCTCAGTGCTGTTTGCCAAGGGTGTCACGAGCCAGGTGTGCTTGTGGCACAGACAGGCCACAGTGAATGGCCATGTTGCAGTGACAAGTGGCCATGGACACTCCCACTATTCAGAGCCCATTCCAAGAGCAGACTGAGACTTAGAGTTTAGGGGCCCAGGGCAGAGTAAGCGGAGCAGAGTCCAGAGAGGGTCAGAGCTCCTGTCACTTACACTTTCCTCTGGCCCCTGTGCACGGGAGTGAAAACATCTCCCATCCGCTTAGACAAATGCCCATGTAGCAGCATGTGACACTCAGGTCTTTACACTTCACCTTTGCATTTGGCTCACTAAATGGCAGGGGGTCTAAGCTAGTTTAATTAATTCACATGTCAAAGGTCTGGAAGAGAGGAGCGGAGCAAGAAAAGCAGCCATTGCCGGGGGGGGGGGGAACACGACACTGTGTATGTCATGGAGTGTCAGGGAGTCAGGGCCCTGCACCCTGCAATTCACCCTGACTCTCAGCCAGCCAGTAAAACAGAAGGTTTATTGGACGACAGGAACACAGTCCCAAACAGAGCTTGTGGGTACAACCAGGACTCCTCAGACGGGTCCTTCTGTGGGGCAGGGAGCTCAGACCCCAGCCTTGGGGTTCCCTCCATTTCCCCAGTCCACTCTCAACTCAAAACCCCCTCCAGCCAACTCACGCAGCCTCCCCCTGGCTCCTCCGCAGCCTTTGTCCAGCTTCCCAAGCAAAAGATGTCACCTGGCCCCAACCCCCCTCCTGGCTCAGGTTACAGGCTCAGGTATCATCCCTCCAGTGAAGCCCCGCCCTGCTATCCCATCCCCCATGCAGACAGTCCCAGTGAAACTCCCCTGCGGTACCCCCAGTTCAATCTGCCCCCCTCTGCTGTGTCACAGTGGGCACCCCAACTTTAATGTGGCAGAGGCATACCCAGGCAGCCATATGACACCTGTGTCTGCCCCGCTCCTTGGTACTCACCAATGGCAGGGTCAGTGTGGCACTTGCTGAAAGCAGCCAAGTAGCTGTTTGTGATGGTGATTGGCAGAGAATTCCATGGTGTCCTTTAGGAGAGATGTAAAAGGTAGAATATTGCAGCCGGCCAGAAGTGTTGGGGACGAAGCATCACCCACCATGGGATGGGCCTCATTTAGCTCAATCAAGAGTGAGAACAAGCAACATCTTTGGGCCCAGATAGGCCCTGTGTTTACAGTCAGGACACTGGAGCATCAACAAAAGCAAAAGAACCCCAAGACAAGACACTATGACCTTCAGGTCTTCTTCGGAGTCCCTGGGTCCCAGGCTAGAGTCCCCCATCCTGTAAGTACAGCCTCCGTTCTTTGTTCCCAGGTGTGTACATTTACATTTAGCCATGTTAAAATCTGCATTGTTTGCTTGCAGCCAGCTTACCAAATGATCCAGATCACTTTGTCCTCTTCATTACTTACCATGCTCCCAATTTTTGTGTCATCTGCAAACTTGATCAGTGATGATTTTGTCTTCTTCCAGGTCATTGATAAAAATGTTAATTAGTGTAAGTCCTAGAACCAATTCCTGTGATATCCCAGTAGAAACTCACCTGATCAGTGATGATTCCCCTTTACAGTTATGTTTTGATACCTGTCAGTCAGTCAGTTTTTAATCCATGTAATGTGTGCCATGGTAATTTGATATCTTTCTAGTTTTGTAACCAAAATGATGTGTGGTACCAAGTCAAATGTGGTATGGAAGTCTACGTATATTACATCAATACTGTTATCTTTATCAACCAAATTTGTAATCTCATTTAAAAATACATATGTCAAGTTAGGTTGACAGTATCTGTTTTCTGTATGCCCGTGTTGAATGGCCTTCATTACATTAACCTCCTTAATTCCCCAATCCCATCAGAGCCATTCCATTACCTTGACTGGGATCAATGTCAGACGGACAGACCTATATAAGCTGGGTCATCTCATTTCCCGTGTTAAATATTGACACAACAGGAGCTTTCTTCCTTCTTCCTGAACTTCCCCAGTGTTTCAAGACTTACTGAAAATAGATAGTAACAGTCCAGCGAGATACTCAGCCAGCTCTTTTAAAACTCTTTGATGCAAGTTAGCAGGATCTGCTGATTTTTAAAATGTCTGCCTTTAGTAGCTGCTGTTTAATATCCATCAGCAAGTAAGTTCTAAGGGGGAGGATTTCCACTGCCTTCCACATCCCCTCTAGCTTTGTA